CCCGGATGGTACTGGATAGAACAATCATAATCCTTGACCAGTTCGAGCCAACGGCGCTGTCTCATATTAAGCTCCTTCCGCGTGAAAATATACTGTAGGCTCTTATGGTCTGTGAATATCTCGCAGCGTCCGCCATAAAGATAATGACGCCAGATCTTCAGGGCATGAACGACTGCTGCTAACTCTAAATCATGCGTAGGATAGTTCTGCTCATGAGGCTTAAGCTGACGTGAAGCCTACGCAACGACCTGTCCGTCCTGCATAAGGACACATCCTAAGCCCTGCCTCGAAGCATCGCTAAAGATAGTGAAACTCCGAGAAGGATCGGGAATAGTCAACGCCGGTGCTGTAGTCAATCTCTTCTTGAGCTCCTGAAAGCTCGCCTCACATCTGTCAGTCCATTCGAACTTCACAGACTTCCTCGTCAGCTGGGAAAGAGGGAGGGCAATCTTGGAGAAGCCCTCGATAAACCTGCGATAGTAACCAGCCAAACCGAGAAAACTGCGAACCTCGGACGGATTCCTCGGTGTCGACCAGTTCTGCACGGCTGAAACCTTAGAAGGATCCACCTCGATGCCTGCCTGGGTAATAACATGACCCAGAAAGGATACTCGCTCAAGCCAGAACTCGCATTTGGAGAATTTGGCGTACAACTTCTCTCGTCTGAGGGTTTCAAGAACCACCCTCAGATGCTCCTCATGCTCCTTCTGACTCTTCGAGTAGATAAGGATATCGTCAATAAAGACAATAACGAACTGATCGAGGTATAGATGAAAGATACGGTTCATGAGGTCCATGAAAACAGCTGGCGCGTTGCTGAGACCGAAAGGCATGACAATGAACTCGTAATGGCCGTAACGAGTCCTGAAAGCGGTCTTAGCGATGTCTGACTCCTTAATCTTCAGCTGGTGGTAGCCTGATCGTAAATCAATCTTCGAAAATACACAGACTCCCTTCAGCTGATCAAATAAGTCGTCGATCCTGGGCAGCGGATATTTATTCTTGATCGTCAATCGGTTGAGATCCCGGTAGTCGATACACATTCGCATAGATCCGTCCTTCTTTTTAACAAAGAGAACGGGTGATCCCCAAGGTGACACACTCGGTCGGATGAAACCGAGTCGTAACAGCTCCTGAATCTGAGTCTTAAGCTCCTGTAACTCCTTAGGCGCCATGCGATATGGGGCTTTGGATACTGGACCGGCCCCTGGGATAAGATCGATAGAAAACTCCACCTGACGGTTGGGCGGTCCTCTTGGAAGCTCGTCTGGAATTACGTCTACGAACTCGCGAACGATCGGGACATCATGAGGTGTCCGCGCTTTCTGAGA